CCCCCCCCCCCCCCCAGGAAGTTTGTAGAGAAGTTTTATCAGACACTTTATGGGTGAAATTGTACATCTGCTTGTTTGAGTTTGAATTATATGAGCTGCATTCCCTGATTGCATGCAACCTGAATCAGCCTGGTTTTATATTGGGATTAACTTAAACCTGTTTAAATTAAATGGTGTAGAAGTGTGTATGTGTATACAGGGACATTGTTTTCAATGTCTCTTATAATCTGGATTTGTTGGGCTTATTACTCCTGTAGAGTGATTCTAGACTGGATCAGAATGAAGTTGTGGCACACCACTGAAGGTTGGCAGTCTCTGGTCAGTTGTCAGAAATTAAAGGAGCATGTAAATATGCAGTAAGTTGTTCTGTAAAAGGGTATTTTATTTAAGTTGATTACTCTTGCAACTTCAGGCTACATTAAATTTAAATGGTATAGCAAGGACTTTGAAGTGAAAGATTTCATTATTTACCTTAAGGTCTTGAAGTCAGGTACCTGCATATGCACAGAGGTGATGTGGTAAGTGTCAGATTTGAACTCGGTGCAATGTTAATTCTTTAATTTATTTGGAGCCTACAACCATGCGCAGGATCAAAGTTCTTATCGCCTGTCTCAGACATGACATCAGCTTTGAAAGGCATAACTGATATGCCCTTGCTTCAGCTTCAGATGTGTTCATGCAGTTGATATATTCGTAGCCATGATATGTAACAGTTACTGGAATTATGGGGTGATGGGCCTGACCCGCATTTTAGCAGTTCGGTTAGCTTCCATTTGTTGCCTTCTTTGTCAATTTGTGATGGTGTAGTCATTGGTGGCAAATTGTAAATTTGCATTAATGAGTGTCAGTAGTGGTCTTCTATTTTGATACCATGTGGTCTTACAAGTGGTTACTAGAATTTTGGAGTTTACCTGAAATGTTGATATTCAGCCTGCAAGATTACACGACATCACAAAGGGAAAAGGTGATTTAATCCTCCATGCTATGGGGCTGCTGGCCAGACTTTAATTGGTTAACAGTTTAGCATTATGCTGGTGTTATACGTATAAAATGCTAATTCTCAGATTGTGTAAATAAGGCTTTTGGAAGGTGCATATGTGACATTTTGAAGTTCTGTTCTGGGTTATGTAATGAGAATGATGTCAGTGTAACTGGAAAATGCTCTAGCCTGTACTACAGTTGCAAACTGACAGAATGTAATGATTCAGTTCATATGACTTTGTTTTGTATGTTATTGCTGTTGGGTAGTTTCAGAAAAGCAATTACAGATGTGTGTTTGAGGAAATGTCACATAGAGGTTATTGGGATTTTAATTTTTAAAGTTGTGTATGGCAAACTCTTGTCCAGTGTGAGTGATCTGCATTGGATAGTAGCATTATGCTGACCAACAAGAATTAATTCTACGGTTGAAAAAGCAGAGTTTAATGTGACTTAAAGAAAGACTATTCTCTGATGTGTACTAAAATGGGATGTCGCAGTACACAGCACTTACATTTGAATAAAGTCAGATGTTACAGCACAAGGGTTAAAAGCTCTGCCTCTATGATGATTCTTCTGCCACCTTCGATGAGAGAAACAAGAACTGTATTGAAATTGGTTTGTGAGGATGTTATCAAGGATACTATTAAGCTTGATCTTAGAGAAATGTGTTGTGGGGATGCAATCTGAACTGAAGGTACTGCAGATTATGTCCAGTAGTGGAGTTTTTGGTGTAACAGTGTTTAATCTAATAACAGAATCTTGCAAATTACTGTACTGAGTTTCCAGCTTAGTTGCCTGTGCTTGGTTGTGTGAAACATGAAGTATTGTGTATTCAGCAAAATTTCCGTGACCAGTAATTTTGCTCCGTAACACTTCATCAACACGAAAGTGGATTTCACTGAGCGCCACCTAAAAGTATGTTCATATGCAACAAGTAGACACCGTTGGACAGCAGACTGTTGTTTCCTGCGTAGACAGCACTTTAGAAACTTGGCGATGTTCCTGTGTCACAGTAGAGGTGTCCTGTCACGTCTGTTGCTGCTCAGAATGTGTTGGCCATTGGACTGCATGGCACAGCTGAAGGTCTGCACTCGTTTATGTCTTGGAAGTCCCAGGTTCAAATCTCATTCGAGAGACCGACTCTCCTGATTGAGTTTTTTTGAGTTTCTGTGCTCTGTCCAGACAAATACAAGGGCAATATTTCATATTAGACCATGACTTTCCTTTTTGACGTGAAAACGTCTTTAAAATCGATGCCGGGTGTGGGGAGGCAATCGCGCCCAAATGAGCGACAGTTTCTGTCGAAG